TCTCTCTCTCTCTCTCTCTCTCTCTCTCTCTCTCTCTCTCTCTCTCTCTTTTGGATTTTTGAGACAGGGTTTCTCTGTAGCTTTGGAGCCTGTCCTGGAACTAGCTCTTATAGACCAGGCTGGCGTCGAACTCACAGAGATCCTCCTGCCTCTGCCTCCCAAGTGCTGGGATTAAAGATGTACACCACCACCGTCCTTGATTTTATTATCACAAATTGGAAATGAGGTTGATCAGCTACTGTGAAATTAACAGCAATCGCCGCTGGCTTCTGCAGAAATGCACCAATATCTCACACGCCTTTTCTGTTTTGGCTAAATCCTTGGTCTGGTGAGGCTTTGTGTACATGAGGAACTGAGACTGCTTCTGACCGACTGTTCCTTCTGTTTCAGGAGCTGCCAGATTCACTGAAGGAGCAGACGCATCTCAAGGAATGGCACATCCACAGCACCCTGATTCAGGTCATTCCCACGTACATCGAGCTGTTTCAAGCCATGAGAATTCTGGACTTGCCAAAAAACCAAATCACATGTCTTCCAGCTGAAATTGGTAGGTTACTCGGCAGGTATTTCCGGCCCTTGTCGGTGGTGAGCAGCCAGCTGTGGGGCAGGTGACGCAGTGCAGCCAACACCCCATTTCCCCCTACTCTCCTGGATGTCCCTCAGCTGTTTCCCTGTTCCCAGAGCCACTGGCTCAGTGTCCCCTTTGGGACATGAAATACCGTGATCTGCCTGCCTGACTTGGCATTGATAGACATTTCACAGTTGCTTAGAAACCTGAAGTCATGGGAATAGGCAACACTGTAAGAATTGTCTGAGCCAGGCAGTGGTGGTGCGCACCTTTAATGCCAGCACTTAGGAGGCAGAGGCAGGCAGAGCTCTGCTAGTTTGAGGCCAGTCTGGTCTACAAAGCCTGTTCTAGGACCACAGGACTACACAGAGAAACCTTGTCTAAGAAAACCAAAAACTAGGGGACTGGAGAGATGGCTCAGTGGTTTAAGAGCATTGCCTGCTCTTCCAAAGGTCCTGAGTTCAATTCCCAGCAACCACATGGTGGCTCACAACCATCTATAATGAAGTCTAGTGCCCTCTTCTGGCTTGCAGGCATACATATGGACAGAATATTGTATATATAATAAATATTAAAAAATAATAAAATAAATAATAAAAATAAAATATTTAAAGAAAAAGAAAAGAAAACCAAAAACCGAAAACAAACAAACAAACGACAAAGGGGTGAAGGGAGGAGAGCAGCAATCTTGGGAGGCCACTGTGTGAGCTGGGGCAATCACTCAGACAACCCACCTTCCTATGTTCTTATCTGCATGGCGATCATCGTGTGCTCGATTCACGTGGTTGTCGTGAGGCTGCTAGAATTCTTTACTGTCTCAGTCACGAAGTGGCAGGAGAGGTGAAGGTTGAGCAACTATCCTGGAAAAGCAAACCGACATTTTTGGTTTGCTAATTTAAATTATGATAAAGTATTTGGTTTCTTAGGATGCCTATGATGTGTTTTTTTTTTGAGTATTATTATATATTTGTTATTGTACTAGTTTTTAGTTTGGAGTTCGTTGTATATATTTTCAAGCAAGAATCAGAACTAAGGGCTGGAGAGCTGACTCAGCAGCTAAAGGTGCTTACTGCTCTAGTAGGGGACTCAGGTTTGATTCCCAGCACCCACATGGTGGCTCACAACTGCCTGTCACTCCAGTTCCTGGGAGGATCTGATGTCTTCTGACTACAGAGGTCTCCTGCATGCATGTGGTAAACATACACACACACATAACATAAATATTAAGAAAGAACCAGAACTAAAATACAGTATTTTTCAGTCATTCTGACAATTCCTGTTCCTCGGGATGTGTTCACATCCCACTTGACAAAGTTGGGATATCCATTGGGGGACTGGAGAGATGGCTCAGAGGTTAAGAGCATTGCCTGCTCTTCCAAAGGTCCTGAATTCAATTCCCAGCAACCACATGGTGGCTCACGACCATCTGTAATGGGGTCTGGTGCCCTCTTCTGGCCTGCAGGCTTACACACAGACAGAATATTGTATACATAATAAATAAACGAATAAGTAAATATCCGTTGGGAAGCATAACATAGAGTAGAAAGAATGCGTGTATGAAAGATGATGGTGTCCGACGTGCAGTCTGCAAGCAGCCGTCCCCTTTGGTCATTTACCATGCGTCTAGAGCTCTGTGCATATTTCTGTGTCTAGCTCAGGCCCCGAAAGCGCACCAGCAAGCAGTGGCAGCTTCTGCCCTCCTAGGAGCGGCTCTGATCTTCACAGTCAGGGCCAAAGAGCCAACTCTTCATGGGGTTTGCAACTCTTCATGGATATCGATGTTGTCTCTTTTTACTCCTTGGTTTTTTACTCTTTGGGGGGCCCACCTCCCAGCTCCCAAATAAACACACACAGAGACTTAATATTACTTATAAATGCCCGACCTTAGCTTGGCTTGTATCTAGTCAGCATTTCCTAAATTATCCCATCTACCTTATGTCTCTGGGTTTTTTTTTTCTTTTTCTATTTCTGTGTTTCTTTCTTTATTTCTTACACTATGGCTGGCTGTGTAGCTGGGAGGCTGGCCCCTGATGTCCTCCTCTCCTTCTCTTGTTCTTCCTTGATATTTTCTCCTTCTATTTTTTCTCTGCTTGCCAGCCCCGCCTATCGTTTCTCCTGCCTTGCTATCAGCTGTTCAGATCTTTATTAGACCATCAGGTGTTTTAGACAGGCCAAGTAACACAGCTTCACGGAGTTAAGCAAATGCAACATAAAAAAACGTAACACATCTTTGCATCGTTCAACAAGTGTTCCACAGCATAAACAAACGTAACACATCTTACAATAATATTCCAGAGCATGCCTGGCTGCAGAAGACAAATCCACTACACAGACTCTGCAATGACTGAGTCAGAAATGTTCCCACAGCCTCTTGTATGTGAACACTTGGCTTCCTGTTGGTGGCGCTGTTGGGGAGCTGTGGAACCTTTAGGAGGAGGAGGCTGGCTGGGGGAAGTGTGTCAGTGGGGATGGGCTTTGAGGGTTTTATAGCCTTGTTCTACTTTCTCTGCTTCCTGCAGTGGACAGATGTGCAGTCAGTCAGCTTCCTGCTTCTGCATCATGCCTTCTATGTCATTGTGGACTCTCTCTTTGGAACTACACACCAAGATCATTTTTTTTTCTCTTTCAATTTTTAAGCATTTTATTTATGTATATTGGTGTTTTGCCTGTGTGTGTAGCTATGCACCGTGGGTATGCAGTGCCCAAAGAGGCCCAAAGAGAGTGTCAGATCCCCTGGAAATAGAGTTACAGTTTGTGATTAGTTGCCCTGGGCATGCTGGGAGCTGAATCTGGGTCCTCTGGAAGAGCTCTTAATCACTGAACAGTCTCTGCAAACGATCTTCTTTAAACTGCTTCTGGTCATGATATTTTATTAGAGCGACAGGAAAGGAATTAATGGCGGTTAACTGCAGTGTCACAGAGATTAAGCAGCTAGAGAAGCGGAACCAAACAACAAAACCCACAAACAGCCGCAGTGCCTACAGCGAGATGCTCTGACGGAAGACATTTAACAGAGAAAGCTCAATGTGCAAACACGAAGTTAGATCTTACGTCTCCATAACCTTTTTTCCTTTCCCTTTTCTCCCTTTGAATTGCTTTTTGGGACAGTGCACCTGTGCAGAACTGTGTAACCTTACAGCTTCTGTATTTCAAGTGCTGGATAGTGGGCACTCAATGCCATCTCTGGGCTCTCTGACATTAGGGGAAAGTTAAACCCCCGAAATCCATTTCTGTTCTGTTTGTTTGTTTTGTTTTTGAGAAAGAGTCTCACTATGTTGACCTGGCTGGCCTGGAACTCACTGTGTAGCTGGCCTGGAACTCACAGAGATCCGCCTTTCTCTGCCTTCTGAGCACTGAGATTAAAGGCCTGTGCTCCTGACCAGCTTGTTTCTGTTCTTAAAAGGCTTCAAAGGACCTGCTCCATTGAGGTTAACTTTTTGTGTTGCTAGGTCGCTTGAAGAACCTGAGAGAACTCAATGTGAGTTTCAACCACCTGAAGAATGTTCCCCCGGAGCTGGGAGACTGTGAGAATCTAGAGAGGCTGGACTGCTCTGGGAATCTGGACCTGGCAGAGCTCCCCTTTGAAGTGAGACACAAACACCTCTGCCCTATGACTCCCTGTCGTTTAACTTATAACAAGGCGTGTTCTATACTGTGAGGAACTTTTACTGACACCTCTAGTCTTCTTTTTCTTTCTTTCTTTTCTTTTTAATTACTAGATTGTTCTCAGGCTTTACCTGAAAATATAAGAGTTACCAGACAACTTTGAAATAGGGCAAAACTAGAGAACTTACGTTATGCAATTTCAAAGCTTACTATAAAGTCACAGCATTAAATTAACATAAAGACAGACCCACAGAAAATTGGGACAGAATTAAGATTTCAGAGAGAAATCTCTATAATATGTACATATATTTAAATATATATGATTTTATTTTGAGATAAATTTGTAGTCTTGACTGACCTGAAACTTGCTCTGTATATGGGGTTGGCCCTGAACTCAGAAAGATCTGCCAGTCTCTGCCTCCTGAGTGCTGGGGCTAAAGGTGTGAAACACCATGCCCTATAACTTTATTATATTTACAATCAATTGATTTTTGAACAGAATTACCAAGAAAATTCAATGGAAAAGGACAATAAATTTAATAGAAGGTTTTGGTAAAATTAAAACCCTTACCTAACTCCATACTTATGACATACATGAAGAATTTGAAAAACACCCTAGATGAAGGAAAGCAGATTTAAAAGAATGTTGCATGAAATTCCAGGAAGAAAAGTGTGTAGAGAAGGAAAGTAGACCCATGATTTTCTCATGAAAAGATTGAGAGCACAGAATGACAGGCAGTAGGAGGAAGAAAATCTGAGCAGAGGTGATAGAAATACCCTGCAATTGAGTTCTGGTACACTGTACATCTGTGATGGGTATGGTTGTGGCATGCAAACTCCTCGTTGGAGTTTGAGGAATTAAACAAAGGAGCACTTCTTGTTTATTACCATCTAGCGTGCTACCAGGGGATCTCAGACTCACTCCTTTCCTGCTCCAGCCTCTGTTTGTCATGAACCCCTGGTGTAGTCAAAAGGGCCCAGCCAGGGAGTACCTCTCCAACATGCCCACTCTGTCATGTGTCTCTTTGTTGGTTCTTTTACAAAGCCAAGTGATACGACCCTGCTGTAGACTTCTGAGAGAGTAGACGTAAAGGGGTAAGCACAAGAATAAACAAGACTTGTGAGGCAAAGGGGAAGATACTGAAATCCCCTGGCGCACAGCTGTCCCTGTTCAGATACGAGCTCTGCGTATGCTCACTGTGGGTCAGATTTTGAGCAATAAAACTGACTTAGTCAGGGTTTCTAGTGCTGTGGTAAACACCATGACCACAGCAACTTGAGGAGGAAAGGGTTGATTTGGCTCACACTTCCACATCTCATTCATCATCAACGGAAGCCAGGATAGGAACTAAAGCAAGGCAGGAACCTTGAGACAGGAGCTGATGCAGGACCATGGAGGGGTGCTGCTTACTGACTTGCTCCCCATGGCTTGCACAGTCTGCTTTCTTATAGAACCCAGGACCACCAGTCAGGGATGTTACTACTCACAATAGGCTGAGCCTTCCCCTATCAATCACTAAGAAAATGTTTTACAGATGGGTCTTATGGAGGCATTTTCTCAATTAAGGTTCTCAATTAATTTTCTCAATTAAGATGAATGGTAATTTAGATTTGTTTTTGTTTTGTTTTCTTTTTCTTTTTTTAAAATTTATTCATTATGGATACAATATTCTGTGTGTATGTCTACAGGCCAGAAGAGGGCACCAGACCTCATTACAGATGGTTGCTAGCCACTATGTGGTTGCCGGGAATTGAACTCAGGACCTTTGGAAGAGTAGGCAATGCTCTTAACCACTGAGCCATCTCTCCAGCCCTTTATTTTCTTTTTCTGCCCATCTGATTGTTTATACCTGGGGCAGAAGCCTTAGTCTGGATTACAGGCACCCAACACATCTCTTTGATCATTCACTGACACATGCTGCCTTCACAGTCATAGTTTGGAATTCCAGACAAGGACATAATCAGAGTGTGTCCCTTTGGTAGAGTGTATTTGATGACAGGGAGAGGGAATTCATATTAAGCTAAACATGGGCATAAACCCAGAGCTTTTTCCTTCTGCTGTTCACTACCGCTCTTTATTAACCCAACTAGCCCTTTGTCTCGAGTAATTTGTAAAACTTTGTGTGCTTTAAATGTCTTTATTTGTTTTGTATATGCAGGTTTATTTGTACTTGCATGTTGTCAAATGAGGAAGTCAGAGGACAACTCTTGGGAGCTGGGTTTTTTGTTTTTTTTTTCCCTTAGTGTAGGTCCGGGGGATCGAACTCAGAACACCAGGTTTGGCTACAGATGCTCTTACCCACAGAGCCATCTTGGTGGCCTGATAATGTGCTTGGAGAGAGAGTATAATTTTACTCAAGGATGTTCAAAATAAGTCAGTAAAAAAAGAATTAGCTTCTTTCATGTTTCATTGTAGCTATCAAACTTTCATAACCAATTCCAGATATGAAATGTTTGTTCAACTTTATTCAAAGTCTATAGATTTTCTCTGAAGCACTATATCTCCCCATGTATTTGACTTGACATGTTGCAAACAAGAACTGTGGATAGCAAACCAAAACAGAAGAGCCCTACCCTGCTTAGCTACTGGGGCCAGACAAGAGGAAGAGGACTTTACCATGTCATCTAACCCATCCAAATGCAGATTTCCTCAAGGCTTGTCAGAACTTGTTAATGCCATCCTTGCCACACCCTAATTCATAATTTGAATTTTCTACCTGGGCATAGTGGCACACACCTCTAATCCTGGCAGAGGCAGGCTGATCTCTGTGAGTGAGAGGCCAACTTGGTCTACGTAGTGAGTTCCAGGACAGCCAGGGTTTTGTAGTGAGACCCTGTCTCAAAAAATAAACAATGCAAAACAAAGCAACAGCAAAGACTTGAGCTCTCTGCCTTCTGTGCCTGTGCCGTTCTCCACCTGGGAGACCCAATTCCAACGTTCTCTTCTCCGTGAAATCTTTTCAGACCCCTGACCACTGCTCCCTCATACTGCGGGGTAAAATTACCCACAGTTAATCTGGGTCTTCCAAATTAACTGAATCTATCCAATCCCTCCCAGATTTATTCAGAGAAGTGTTCCCATGGTGATTCTCACTCCCATCAAGTTAACAATCAGGATTAGCTGTCACAGAGGGTCATTCCAGTATTCTCTTATTCCTTTCTAGCTGAGTAATTTGAAGCAAGTGACGTTTGTAGATATCTCAGCGAACAAGTTCTCCAGTGTCCCGATCTGTGTCCTGCGGATGTGCCGGCTGCAGTGGTTGGATATCAGCAGCAATAATCTGAGTGACCTGCCGCAAGATATAGACAGGTAGCTACTTGCACCCTAAGGTGAGGTGTATGAACTCATTACTAACACTTTAAGATTGCTAACACTTTAGATACGCTAGCACATGAATAGCCTTTGAAATCAACTATGTTTCCAGAGTTGGGCTCTAGGAAATGCTAGAATAAGACAGTCTCCATGTGCATCACACGCCCATGCACGTATGCACACTCGAACACTTCTTCATTGTCTTGCTGAATTTGATTTACTTCAGTTACTCACTTAGTTATCTATTTGTCTGTTTACTTAATGTCAGATGTTTCCGCTTGTAGCCCTGACTGCCCTGGAACTTACTATACAGACCAGGTTGTATATGCGCAGAGATCTGCCTGCCTTTGCCTCCTAAGTCCTGGGATTAAAAGTACACAACACCACACTTGGATTTTTATTTTCTAAAAGCATTTTAAAAATTGAGTGTGTGTACTCAACAACAGAGGCCTGAGAATAACTGAGGGAGATGCTTCTCTCCTTCCACCATGTGGGTCCAGGAGAGCGAACTAAGAATGTCAGGCTTGATGGAGGCACCCTTACTTGCTGAGCTATCTCACTATATTTTCCTTCTCTCCCTAACTTTGAGAAAAGTAGCCCAGGTTAGCCTCAAACTTAGGATCTGCCTGCTGCTACCTCCCAAGCACTAGGCCCAGGTACAAATGCAACCACAAACAGCTTAGAAGAGATTTTTGTTTATTTTTATTTTATTTTTGAGATAGGGGCTTGCTCTGTAGCCTGTAAGGGCTCGGAACCCACAATGCTCCTGACTCAACTTCCTGAGTGCAAAGATCACTGACGCAAGCCTCTTGACTAGGCTTCAGTCTTTTATAGAATAACATTGCTAACTTTACTCTACAGGAATGGATAAGAAAATTTATTATGTATAGAGAAACGTCATCCTGCTTAGAACAACACAGGGAGGGGAATTTTTTATTACTTTTCATTTATTAATTTAAGGTACATAATCTTTTTTTTAAATTTTATTTATTATGTTCTGGGCACCAGATTTCATTATAGATGGGTGTGAGCCATCATGTGGTTGCTGGGAGTTGAATTCAGGACCTCCAGAACAACAGTCAGTTCTCTTAACCTCTGAGCCATCTCTCCAGCCCCCAAGGTGCATAATCTTTAAACAAAATTGGCATGTTAGTTATGTTGTTAAATTATATCCAAGCAGCTGTTTCCTTTATAAAATGATTATTATGGGCTGGGGAGACGTCTCGGTGGGTGAAGTGTCTGCTGTCCAGGCTTGACGACATAAGTCGGATCCCCAGCAGTCCTGTAATAGCTGCGTGTGGCTGCTCCCAGCGGTAACCCTAGGGCTCGGGTGGGCAAAGACAGGGGGTCCCCAGAGCTTGTGACAATCAGGCTAGCCAGTTGGTAGTCACCAGGTTCAGTGAGAGACCCTATCTCCAAAGACGAGGTGGAGGAACTGGTGAGATGGCTTAGTGGTTAAGACTGAGTGCTACTCTCTGAGGACCCGAGTTCAGTTCCCAGAACCCACATCAGATGGCTCACAACTGCCTGGAACTCCAGTTTCAGGAGATCTGACTCAACAGGCCCTTGCGCTCATATGTACATACTCACACACAGATACACTATGTAATTTAAAATTAAAAATAAATTAAAAGATAAAGTGAAGGGTCTGGGGAGGTAGCGTCAATATTACAAGAACTTACTAGTCGGGTGTGGTGGCTCACACCTTTAGTCCTAGTACTCAGGAGACAGAGGAAGGCAGATCTCTGTGAGTTCAAGACCAGTCTGATCTACATTTCGAGGTCCAGGACAGCCAGGACTACATAAAGAGACCTGGTTTCAAAAAACAACAGAAAAGAACACCTAACTGCTCTTGCAGATGTCCTGAGTTCAGTTCCCACACTGGGAAGTTCACGACTACCCGTAACTCCAGCTGCAGAGCACCCAACACTCTGGCCTCTGTGGGCATCTGCACTCATGTACATAGACTTGAAAAAAATAAAAATAGTTCTTCCACTGGCGAGCCACAGTGGAAGACCCTTGGTGTTGACCTCTGACCTCTAGGTGCTTGTGTGTACATGTGAATGTGTACCTTCATGCATGTGCGCGCGCGCACACACACACACACACACACACACACAATAAAAATAAAATACATTTAAAATGTAACCTGTCCTTTAAAAAATAATTGTTGCACAGAAACGTGTAACGTGAGCTAGATTGATTCAGTCTTTTATGCCACTGATATTACTAGGCTTCTTATGTTGGTCCTGGAGAGTGGGCTGGGCCTAATGGATGAAATATAACCTGTGGCCTCTTGGAGTCTGTACTCTTTTTGTTTGTTTGCTTGTTTGTTTTTTGAGACATGTTTTTTTGTGTGTGTGTGTGTAGCCTTGGCTGTCCTGGAACTAGCTCTGTAGAACCAGGCTGCCCTCGAACTCACAGAGATCCTCCTGCCTCAGTTCCCAAATGCTGGCATCAAAGGCATGCACTACCTCTGCCCAGTGGAGTCTACACTTTTATTTACATGAAGCGTAAATAAACTGGGACGATTCACAGACCAGCCTTGGTTTAGGCCTGAGTGTGACACTTCTCTGCCCTTGGTCCTTGGGCGAATGAGGCCAAGTGAGACTTACTTGTGTTTGAAATGACAAAGGAGTTTTTGAGATATTCGTGATATTACACAAGAATTTGTAAATGAATGAAAAAAATCTGAAGGAAGAGTCTCCAGATTAGAATAAAAATAAAATAAAGCAATCTTAAAATATATTTTTTTTTACATTTTCCTTCTTGTTCCATGGCTTTCCTCCTACTTTATGTTGAAAAAGAATAGTGAGGGGCCTAGAGAGATGATTTAGTGCTTAAGAGCACTGGCTGCTCTTCCAGAGGCCCTGAGTTCAATTCCCAGCAACCACATGGTGGCTCACAACCATCTGTAGTAAGCTCTGATGCTCTCTTCCGGGTGGGCAGGCATATGTGCAGTCAGAACACTATACATAATTAAAAAAATAGCGAGAGAAGACTAAGTTGTATGAAAAGAAATGCCTTGCTCAAATCTGTTTGTTCTTACAGCAACCCTGGGAAATGCAGGAGACACTGTATTGTTACTAAATCCATATTTAGTATGTGATTAAATCAGTAAAATAAAATCTTCATAGTTCTGTACATAATCTAAAAAGATCACACTTTATCTAAATGTGAAGGGTAAGCTCATGGTTGCACACACATTTTGGTGGTGATGAGCCGAGCAGGCTTTCCCCGCAGGAGCAATGCAGTTCCCTGCAGTTCCCTGTAGTTCACTGTGGAGTCTGTCCTGAGTCCTAGCTTCTCCGCAGGCTGGAAGAGCTGCAGAGCTTCCTCTTGTATAAAAACAAGCTGACCTACCTTCCTCAAGCCATGCTCAACCTCAGAAAGCTCACCTTGCTGGTTGTCAGTGGGGATCACCTGGTGGAGCTCCCGACTGCCCTCTGCGATGCCTCCACACCTTTGAAGTGAGTACGTGGGAAGGGGAGGGCTCCAGGACAGCCTGCCTCGACATAGGCAAAAGCCAGCCACCTCTGGCTCCAGACTGCTGTCTTAGTAGCCCGATTGGGTGATCCTCACACACCTGAGCACCCGCCCCTACTCCACTTTCTACAGGAATTTGAAGGGGTTTGTTCGTTTGTCACATGCCCTGAGTAGGACACATCACTGAATTTCTGGAGTTGCAGAAACTGCTTGCCAATGGGCAGCATGAGGTGTGGACACAGCTTAGGCCTCTCAGCTGTCTCTCGGCTGTCATGTCCCCATTGTCTCGGAGAGGCCAGACACCGTTCAAGCAATCCTCTCTGTTCGCCTCACCTTGTGACTTCCCACTGTGAACTCCGAAACAAAGACACCCATCCATGCAAAGATGATACGGGCTCCAAACTGGGGTGAAGTCTTGCTTACTCCCCAGAAAGATGACAAAGCTAGGGACCGTGTCCTCCAGAACCTTCGCGTGTATCTTTATTTGCCACTATGAAGAGACCGAAATCAAAACTCTTGGATGGTGTATTGTGTGCAAGATAAAGGGGAAACAGGGTTCTGATTGGTTGACTCGTGTCTTTTAATTTCTATCAGCCAGGGTCTCACGTGACTTGACTCAGCCACTAGTAGTCAGGACTGACCTTGAACGTTTCATCATCCTGCTTCCACAGTTTACTGTGGTGCTTGCGCTCACAACCAGAGCTTTACGCACGCTAAGGAGGCACTCTGAGGACCAAGCTGTATCCCCAGACCTTGGTTATTGATTAAAGAAAAACAGTGATGGGCTGCATGGGACTCAGTGATAGAGTGTAAAAAAGAAAGACTTAACAAATAGGTCAATTAAAGAAACTACTGCTTTAGAAAAAAAAAATATTCACACTCTTTAAATGTTGATTAAAAAAATCAGAGTGATTATATATATATACATATATATATGTGTGTGTGTGTGTGTATATATATATATATATATATATATATATATATATATATCTTTTCATTTTTCTCTCCCTTTGCTTTTGTTTTGAGACAGGGCCTCTCTCCACAGCCCTGGTGTCCTGGAACTCACCATGTAGACCAGGCTGGCTTCAAACTCACAGAGATCTAATGGCCTCTACCTCCCATATTCTTATTTTTCAAAAAGATGTATTTATTTTATGTGTGTAAGTGTTTTGCTTGCCTGCCTGCGTGCATGTATAGTACATGCATATCTGGCACCCTCATTGACCAGAAGAAGGCGTTGGATGCCCTGGAACTGGAGTTACAGACAGTTGTGAGCCAGCATGTGTGTGCTGGGAATCGAACCCTGGTCCTCTGGAAGAGCAGCCAGTACTTTTGACTGCAGAGCTATCTCTCCAGCCCACTGGAGAGGAGTTTTGCAGGTGAACATTCTCAGTAAACGTGTTACTTTCCCCACAGATTTATAAGCCTTATGGACAACCCTATTGATAAGACCCAAAGTCAAGACAGCGATGAAATTCTGGAAAGTGAACAGGACCGCCAGCATTTTGATAAAGAGTTCATGAAAGCATATATTGAAGATCTTAAAGAACGAGGTGAGTTGGGAATATTTAAAACCATCTAAGGTATATTATGCAACCTCCACGTGATCCTGAAATACATACATCAGCATCAGTCAGAATGACAAAAAAATTATTTGGGACTATTTGTGAATCAATGGTGCATTTTCTTAGAACATGAGGTTACTTTTCCTCTCATTTTTATTAGTTCTTTGAGAATTTCGTACAATGCATTTTGATCATTTCACCCCTTTCTTCACGCCTGGACCCAGCCACCTTCCCTGCCCAGTTTTGTTTGTCTCTGTCTGTTTTAAAAAACCCATCAAGTATAGTTGGTGTTGCCCATATAGTCTGGACTGTGTGGCCCTTCCACTCGAGCATGGGCAGCCTAGCAAGGGCTGCACCCTTAAAGAAAACTTATTCACCCTTCCCAGTAGTTACCAGCTACTCCTTAGCTAGGGTTGGACCTGCATGGCCACCTCCTGTGTCCTTGCTGGAATTTTGTCTGGCTTCACCATACACAGGTCTCCTACATGAAATGTGAGATTTTGCTTGCATACTGTGTGCTCGCTACATATGTCAACTGTATGACAGAATACAGAGGCTGAGAAACACACAATTAAAATGTGAAAGTTGTATTAATATGTAACCTTTAAATTATGAAAAATCATTATTATTGTGTATGTGTGTGTGTGCGCGCGCATGCCCATGCACACGCACATGCCCCTGATGTGGAGGACGGAGCTCGTGTGCTTAGGTGTGCTTGTGTGAATGTGGAGGTCAGGAGACAATTTATGGAGTCCATTCTCTCCTTCTGCCTCCGTGTGTTCTAGGAATCAAGCTTAGACCACCTTGTTTGCATGGCTGAGAACCCTTATCCACTGAACCACCTTGCCTCCCAGTAAATGACATTTAGTTATTTTGGTAAAATAGTATTCTAATTTAATAGAAAAATAAGACTCCATTTCAAAAATCGATTAAAAAATTTGAAAGCATCAACTCTTCTAAACCAAACACCGTATAAATGTCACAAACAAGGAGAACACACTTGGCCAGCCAGGAAATAGGCCCTCTCAGACTTGGTTTTCCACGGCACGTTGTATCCTGAGGAGTACAGATAGAGAACTCAAGAAGGCCTGGGAAGGGATTTGTTCTTGGGTTCAAACTCAGGGTTTTGTGTATGATAGACGTTTCTCTACCACTGTGCTACCCCCCTCAAATGGACCACTGCTTAGCTGGTATCGGCCATCTGTAGATGCAGCTTGGCTGTGAGCAGAAAGATGGACACTACATACTGGGAGGAACAAGGCTGAGTCTATTAGTAAGAGCTTGGGTTAGAAATAGCCCTGATCTCTTCTAAACTGTATTGTTTTCTGCCTGCTGCCTTCAGTCCCACGGCCTTCACCATCGATTTCATCAGCTGTGTTATTACACGGTCATAGTTCCCAGAGCCTAGAGGGAGCTGTGTGGGGTGGTGGGAAAGACCATAAAAGAAAGAGACTGAGTGTTAGTATCGTAGATCTAAACACTTCTAAACTTGGCCCACTGGTGATGCCTCGTACATCCTCTATACTTAAAATATGAAGTGCCATTACTTGACATATCGATGCAAGTCACTGCATTATGGTTATATTTCATAGTAAGAATGGATTAATAAGGGACTGGAGATATGGGTCAGGGGTTACGAGTGCTGACTGCTCTTCCAGAGGACCTGGTTCATTTCCCAGCACCCACATGGCAGCTCACAGTCTGTAACTCCAGTGCCAGGGACTCAGACACCGTCTGACCTCCAGGAACACAGGGAGTGTACATAGAGCACAGACATACATACATGCTAACAAAACATACAAACACATAAAATAAATTGATTAATTAAAAAGAGTGAGTGAATACCTAAGTATATATATTTTTTCTTTATTGCAGAAGCTGTTCCCAGTTACACCACCAAAGTTTCATTTAGCCTTCAACTTTGATCTGATCCACCTGAAGACCACAAAATCTTACAGCTCTGTGCTCTCCGTCTTTGTATACGCGTTACATCTTACAGGAATTGTGGCTTGTGCTGAAGGACAAAGTCTAGAAACTACCACCATCACTGTTAAGAAAAATAATTTTCAAATTTCACTCATGGAAGAGCGATGAATTTGCATATATGTTAATATTAATAGACGTATTTGCATATCCTTGATCTAAATAATACACATTTAATATTTTAGGAACGACATTCTTTAAAAAATACAGCAGCCAGGCAGTGGTGACAATGGCCTTTACTCCTAGCACTCGGGAGGCGGAGACAAACAGATCTTGAGTTTGAGTCCAGCCTGGTCTACAGAATGAGTTTCAGGACAGCCAAAGGCTGTTACACAGAGAAACCCTATCTCGAAAAAAACAAACAAACAAAAATACAGCATAAAGAACAAGTTTTGAAACTGGATGCATTATTTTCAGGAATGCAGGGCTGGAGGGTTGTAAACGAAAGGATTTACCACCGTGAAAGTGTTTCAGTGTACTAGCGACTTCTATTGAGAGGAACACTCCTTGACTTTAAACAAGCTGCTATTTCCACATTTTAAACTCACTTTGGCAAGTACATTTTAAATTTTATTTTATTTATGTATTTTATACATAAATACATAATACATAATAATAAATTTTATTTTATTTCTGTATTTAATTGCATTTTAACTCTCAGGAGAGGCTGAAGGTATAATTTGGGTCTCGAGGGTGGAAGGGAGGCTGGCATATGTAGTGCATTGGACCCTAGGTGCTCTGGTGGCATGGACCTGGGAAGGTCCAAATGATGTGCCTGGGGAGCCCTCCTACCCTTTCAGTTCCCCTGGTGGACCTGGGACATCAGAGCAGAGCAGAGGCAGTGCCCTGGAGGGGTCCTGGAGAGGTCCACACTGACGACCCCTAGAAAGGCTTCCATGTGGTGTAAAAGGAACAGCGGGCTGCATTCCCGCCCGCTACCCGGCTAGCTTTACCCGAAATAATTACTCAGAAACTGTATTCATTTAAACACTGCTTGGCCCATTAGTTTCAGCCTCTTATTGGCTAACTCTCACATATTGATCTAACCCATTTCTAATAATCTGTGTAGCACCACGAGGTGGTGGCTTACCAGTACCATTCTAACCTGCGGCTGTCTCGGAGAGGAGAGTCATGGCGTCTGCCTCATTGCCTTCTTCCTCCCACCATTCTGTTCTGTCTACTCCACCTATCTAAGCTGCTGTCCTATCAAAAGCCAAGGCAGTTTCTTTATTAACCAATGAAAGTAACACATAGACAGTTAACCCTCCTCGATCAGTGTGGGAACCGGGGAGGGCTCTGCCTGTTGGAGTGCAGCTGTGGGCCAGACAGGGAATGTTAGTTTGTGTTGGCAAAGGGCTGGGCTTTCTGTTCTTGCACTGCATTGTACCTCGGGAAGAGCCGTATAAAGCTCCTGGTTTTCTACCAATGCCTTAGACTAAGACGGACAGGAAGTGGCTGATCTTCTTGAAGACAGGAGGGAAAATGCACACGCATCTCTGTGTGTATGAGGGAACTCACCCCGTGTAGTCCCTCCACCCCTGCCATGTGGGGGCAGGGCTGCCGCTACAGCCTTTGCAGCAGGGAAGCATTCTGAAGCTGTGTTGTTAGATGCCGTACCATCCAGGCATGGAACATGAGTCTGATGACCCTCAAAAACTAAATTTTAAATGCAGTTTACTTAAATAGCCACTTGTGGCTATCATACCGTACACTAAGGCCCAGTCTGCTGGATTGGGATGGAGGATGTTATCTGTGATTTTAAAAATGGGAGGGGTGGTTTTACTTTTTCTTACCTGAAGAACTGATTTGCTCTTAGATTCATATAATTTTAAAAGGTTACCAAAAGCACACATTAATTAATTGTGTGTTTTTGGTAACCTTTTAAAATTATATACATGCAAAACTATGTAATGCATGCATACATAAACTCACAGAAAAGGGAAAGATTAAAATTGACACCTTGGTATTTTGCCTGTGTCAGTAGTTTAAGTCCGAACATTTTAATCCTTACTAGATGTGAGACAGGTGGCGTCTCCAGGCCCAGGGAGATGTCTCAGGAGAGGGTCATTGCAACAACCGCAGCAGTGAGAAGTAGGTTAAAAGACAAAGAGGCAGAAGATGAGGGCTCTCTTTAGATTTCGTGGCTTTCAAATTGATGAGTTGTCCTACTTGGATGGCTTCAGAATTTATTTCTTACTCAAGTACATATATCAAGATGTGAAAATTATATGTGAAAAGGCAGAAGTGTAGAATTTTACATAAATAGACTGTTCATAATTTATGTAAGTTTTATTTCAATAAAACCCAGATTTTTTGTGAAAAAACCTCATCTCTCTCTCTCTCTTTCTCCTTCTCTTTCTGTGTATGTGTATGTGTGCGGGTTTGTGTGGAGCCTAGAAGTTGATGAGGGAGATCTCTTTGCCCCTGTGTTGTTACTTTTGTTACTATTGAGGCAGTGTCTCTCACTGAGTCTGTAAATTGCTGTTTTGGCTACACTGGCTGGTCACTAACGCCCTGGAAGTTGTCTCAGGTCCCCAGTACTGGAGGGACTATGTGACTCCACACCTTGCTTTTCACAGGTGCTGGAGTTTTAAACTCAGGTCCTTGTACTTGAGTGGCATTGTTTGCTGAGATGTCTCTGTAGGCGGAGACTGCTTGCTTGCTCCTGGCCACCCAGACTCGAAATAATCACACAGAAACTGTATTAATTAAAACACTGCTTGACCAATTAACTCATGCATATTTCTAGCTAACTCTTACATCTTGAATTAATCCATTTTTGTTAATCTATATCTCACCACGAGGCTCATAGTTTACCAGTAAGGTTCTCTGATATCTGTCTCCTTTGGCAGCTACATTGCTTCTCCTTGACTCTGCCCACTTTCTCCCAGCATTCAGTTTAGTTTAGCTAAACTGCCTAGCTATATTTTGCTCTGTCATAGGCCCAAAAAGCTTCTTTATTCATTAACCAATAAAAGCAACACTTATACAAAAGGACTTCCCAAACCATTTCCCCTTTTCTGTTTAAATAAAAAAGAAGGTTTTAATTTTAACATAGTAAAAATTACATATAACAAAACAGGTATCAAGTAAGAATTACAGTTACAATAGTCATGTCTACTTTATGTTTTATCATAACTAGGGAAAATTATAGTTATAACTATCTGTTCTTCAACTTCATCAAAGACCCCAGAAGGATATAATATTACCTAAGTTAGCGGAAAGTGCATTGTAAGCAACTTTCAAAACTCTAGAATTGACAGAGACATCTTGCTACCTGGACAGTCACCCAAAGTTCTTCTATACCATTGGGGCATCCATCTTCAGCCTACAGGCCCATAGTATCTGGCAGACTTTTCCATGAAGCAGGAAATTTCAAAGACAGTTCCACCTATATTGGCAGTTTGTCAGTTACTTTCTTCTGTGTCCTGCAGAATGTCTGGAAGACTCTTGCATGAAGCGGGAACCCCGAAGGACCATCTCACCTTTAGACAAGTTCAGCAGTCATTTTCCTGTGGGTCCTGCATGTTCAGTTCATACAGCATAGCATCAAGCAGTCCAGGCAAGAGCAGTTTCTTGCCTAAATGCCTAAATGGTTAACCAACTCCATAAGGAGTCTCTTCAGTGCCCATCATCCTCTTTAAGAAGATTGGTGCTGCCAGGAGCAGATGTGTCTCATTGTCATGAAAATCCTAAGTTCTCTCTCTCTTTTTTTCTTTTTTTTTTTTTTAGTTTTTCGAGACAAGGTTTCTGTGTAGCTTTGGAGCCTGTCCTGGAACTAGCTCTTGTAGACCAGATCACAAAGATTTGCCTGCCTCTGCTGCCCAAATGCTGGGATAGTCCTAAGTTCTTAAAACATTTTAAATGCTATATGCTGTTAGTCTTTGAAAGATTTGAATACCTAACCATCTGAAATATATGTCTGTAAATCTAGAAAGCCTAACTAACATGACTATAAGCTTGACTATTATAGATGACTATCTATTGACCTGTATTTCTTAATTATACATTACATTTTTAAATGAACTGCACAAATACAATACCTTAATCAAGAGCAGAAATATACATCTAACAAAACTGACCTTAAATTTGTATGAATAAATCAAGATCCATACCAATGCAAAGTATTCATATCTATGTTATAACCCCTTTAAATGTAAACAAACATTTATAAACAATATTGGGGAATTTTGGCATAGTTCTCTCCAAACTGCTTCCTGCTTTTTATTGGGCAAAATATTTTCTTTTTGAGGCTTCACAGAGACTTTACTGGGGGTCTTGGTCCATCAAACCACATTAGTCCGGAAGGAATCCATAGGTTCTCATCCTCTGTGGGAACAAAAGCAGGACCTCTTTTCCAAAGCGGTGTATCTTTAGACCCAAATTTTGAAGGCAAGATACCTTCAAAATATATATGTTGATTTAGTTTAGCAGCCTGTACAATGAAATGTCTCTCAGTACTTAGCTCATTAGCAGTCAAAAAATTCAAAGAAAACACAATAATATACTCTCTGTGTATAATCCATCTTTATGTGGCTTATTTTTCTTTTTTTTAAAGCACTGTTGCTTTTTTTAGATTGATTTCTTTATTATTTATTATGTATTCAGTATTCTCAGTATTCTGTCTGCATGTATGCCTGCAGGCCAGAAGAGGGTACCAGATCTCATTACAGATGGTCGTGAACCACCATGCGGTTGCTGGGAATTGAACTCAGGACCTTTGGAAGAGTAGGCAATGCTCTTAACCACTGAGCCATCTCTCCAGCCCCCACAATAATATACTTTCTATGTATATTTCATCTTTATGTGACTTATTTTTTTTTACTCTGTTAACCCATGACTTCTGTACTCTGTCTCTTTAAAGATTTTTTTTTAAGATTTACTTCTTTTCATAATTCTCTATACTTTTTTTCTTCTCTCTCCCAAGTCTATGTACATTTTTTAAAAGCATACTATGTTTCATTTAGAGGTCTTTATGTCTGAATCTGTCCTATTGTGTATTTGTAATCCTTTTCTGACCAGGACTGCTTCTTAAAATGCTAAGTGATGTGGCTAGGACTAAGGCTGCTTTGCCTTTTGGCTCTGCCCAGTCCAACATGGCAGAGGTGTGTTCAGGGCCAGCTCTGTGAGCCAAACTCACAACCTTATTTCCAGGCACACAGTGGGTATATGCTGCCATTAAGCAAGTTGAAGCACTCTGCTTACAAACCCCATTCACATGCTCGGTCTCTTGAAAAAGCCAGAGCTGTTTGTGCAACTAGCACGAACCAGGAAGCTGTTTCCTAAAGAAGCCTGGCAGCCTTTGCTGCCAATGCTGTCTGAGTTAGGAAGACCTCTCTTTAAAGGAGCCACAGACTTCCAAATGGTTCTGAGTCCTCAACACTTCCAATTCTGTTCCTTCACAATAGGTCAAAACCGTGTGTGTGTGTGTGTGTGTGTGTGTGTGTGTGTGTGTAGTATTCAAGTGGGAGTCATAAGAGAATTAATTCTTTGCTGAGCATCGTGGCTCATATCTGAGATTCAAGCACTTGAGAGGTTGAAGCAAGAGGATTGGTGTGAACATGTGGTTAGCCTAGATTACCTAGTGAGTTCCAGACCAACTTCGACTACATCGTGAGATCTCAAACCTACCCTAACATACCCACATGGGAAAAAAAAATTAAAGAAAACTAACCATCTTAAGATGAGAACTTTGGTGGCTTTTAGTGCACTGCCAGTGTTGAGAGAGCGTTACCTTCTCCATTCAGTTCCCAAACATTTCATAACCCCTTCTTCCCTCATGAAATCCACATTGGTTGAACAAGGGCTTTGCATTTTTTTCTCTTTCTCTAGTCCTGGTAGCCACCTCTGGGTTCTCCTGATTTTATTGGTGTTTCATATAAAAGGTTACACAGTATTTGACTTTTTTTGGGATGTTGTAACATTTTTTTTTTTTTTTGCCACTCAGCATTCTTTTTTCAAGGCTCAGAAGCCATATTTTATGAAAAGCGTCACAACGACAGCTGCAAAGATTAGAAAGACCAGCCGTCGAAACGGGTTATGTTTCATGCAATCGCAGAAGCCCTGGCAGCACGCACAGAAGCATCCGCAGCAGCACTCGCAGCTTTTACTGCAGCACTCGTGGCAGGCCCCACAGCAAGCTTGGCAGCAGCAGGGTTCACCTGCTGGATGGATATGGCTGCTTCTCTCTGCCTGGTAAGTGATGTTTACTCCTGGTCTCCCAGAACTGGGCACAACATATGCGGGAGTGGGTGGGACATAGGAGGAGGAAGTGGGTAGGATGAATGAGGAGGAAATGGTTGGGACAAATGCAGAGGACCGGGGCAATACCTCTGGGATCTTGGACCTGGAGTTCTTGTTTCCCGTACCCTCTGTTCTGCTGCTCTTGGCGGGAGAAGGCATTTGAATGGCACATCTCGGAGCAGGGGAGCTCACAGGTGTCAACTCTTGGGTTGTCAAGATTGGGACAGTTGATGGGTTTGGGGTGTGGCTAACCTTGGGGTCAGCTTTGGTAGGATTACTGGCTTTGGCGTCCCCTTTTAATGCTTGGGGTTTTTCCACTTTAGAGGAAGTGGGTGCAACATATGAGGAAGAAGTAGATGGGACAAATAAGGAAGTGGGTGGGGCATAGGAGGAGGTTGTGGGTAGGATGAATGAGGAGGAAACGGTTGGGACAAATGCAGAGGACCAGGGCAATACCTCTGGGATCTTGGACCTGGAGTTCTTGTTTCCCATACCCTCTGTTCTGCTGCTCTTGGCGGGAGAAGGCATTTGAACGGCACATCTAGGAGCAGGGGAGCTCACAGGTGCCAACTGTTGGGTTGTCAAGATTGGGACAGTTGATGGGTTTGGGGTGTGGCTAACCTTGGGGTCAGCTTTGGTAGGATTACTGGCTTTGGTGTCCACTTTTGATGCTTGGGGTTTTTCCATTTTAGAGGAAGGCTGTGAGCAGGAGACGTTGCTGCACGTTACAGCGACCGTAGGCTCTCTAGTTGACTTAGAGGAGGTGGGAGACAATGGACAAGCTGGTGGTTTTGAGGCTAGGCCTGAGCTACTCTGAACACAAAAGCCCTGCAGACAGGCCTCACAGTTGTTGCTGTCATGTGGGCCTTCAAGACCCGTGTCTCCGAGCACGGGAATCTCAGCCATTTCCTTAAACCCTTCTCCATAGCACTTCTTCAGAATTCTGAAGACCAGATTGCTCAAGATCCTCGAGATGTTGTCCCAGGCAAACTCTGGGGCTGCAAATGGAGGCTCAGGGCACTTGTTACATCTCTGAGCAAAGATCCTCATCTTCACCCGTCCCTTGCCTCTCTTCTTACACCAGCGCATGTGGAAGATCACCAGGACGCAGGCAGAGGCCCAACTGCGAGAGCAGCTGGGGCAGAGGAACCTGTGGAGAACCGGGAGAGAGCTTCAGCCAAGCTGTGGGCAGGTACCGGAGGGAGAAGGAGAGAAATGAACGAGCGAGCCCCTCTTCCTCATTTCCACTGTGTTACCAATATTCTCCGTGATCATTGTTAGATGCTTGCTGTGCAAACAGCAAGTCACCAGCAATCTGACTCAGAAGGGACCCAGGGCATTTTCTAGGTCCAGTGTGTGCATTGTACATTTCAGAGGCAAGGCACACAATGGGGCCTCATCACACCCCAGGACCTGCGGTTCGTGAGCCGGGACTGGAGCTCTGGTATCTGAACCGTAAGTCATTGTTTCTTCAAACATCGTTGTAAATGTGTTCAAGGCTATACATGCAACAGCCTTCCAAGGACCCCATGCTGAAATGAACAAGTGGATGTAAGTGGGTGCTAGGGAAGTCACCAGCAGGTCAGGAGAGAGCTGCAGCCTCCTGCCTCAGAGGCTTTTGTTCCTCAGGCCCCACGATTTGTAAATCCCCACAGATCACCTTCCAGTTCTCTCTCTCTCTCTCTCTTTTTTTTTTGTGCTTCCCCCCAACTCATAATTTTTCTTATATACACCAGAGAATGTTGCATTGTTTCTCAGGGCTTGCCTTCAACAGGGCACAGAATGACACACCTTCTCAGCGGAGAGAGCATTTTCTCTAAGACGTTTGCACAAACGCCTGCTAGGAACAGTGAAGGAGGAACGGGGGAAGCCTACGCTTCCTAGAACAGGGGTTGTGCAAAGCCAGAAGACTGCAATGTGGGGGAGACATTTATTGCTCATCTAATAACCCATGAACTCCCTCTTGATTCAGTCAGCTTGGGACCGTGGAACCTGTTGATGGGACTTGAACAGCGGTCAGAGCTCTTTCTCAAGGCCCCAGCCCTCTCTGCCTAGGTAGCCTTGGGAGCTGTGCCTAGGTAGCCTTGGGAGCTGTGCATTCAGTTAAACACTGGGATTTGTTTTTTTGATTTTTTTTTTTTTTATAGTGGTTGGTCCTAACTTTGCTTGAGACAGGAGAATCTGCAGTCTGAGGTGGGATGTTGCAGGAGGCTGGGCAGAACAAGGAAGCTCCTTCTAGGTCTTTGTACCACTGAGCTACAATCCCAGGCCCCTCTTTTCCATGCTTTGATCTTAGCCTGTTTTCTTAGGGCAAATGTGGAAAGGAACTGAGAGGAGGAGAAGCTGAGAAGCTAGCTAACTCCAAGTCCCATGAAGTGTACTGGCCGGGAATTCTCCCTCAGTTTTGCACAAGTTTAGAGCTGTCTTGAGCTGTCTGTCACCCACACTGGCCTGGCCTCAGCGCTCTTGCTGCACTGTGTGCCAGGCCAGAGTCCCAGGTTCTCAAATAAACAGACTAAGGCTTTGCTCTGGAGCTTCCCAAGTCAGCTTCTACTTGGGAAAGGGCCAGTCTCCTCACAGAGGGCAGCAGGCATGACGGATCCCAGGACTCTACCCTCTCTGTCCTTTTACCTCCACCCCTAGGCTTTGGGGCACCTACTTTCTATGGAAAAGAAAGGGTAAAATGTTGGGCGGTGCTGAGCAGTGGTGGCGCATGCCTTTAATCCCAGCACTCGGGAGGCAGAGACTGGTGGATCTCTGTGAGTTCGAGGCCAGCCTGGTCTACAAGAGCTAGTTCCAGGACAGGCTCCAAAGCTACACAGAAACTCTGTCTCGACAACAAACAAACCAACAGACTGTTGGGTGGTCCCGGAAAGTCCTATTTAAGAAAGAATATATTGGCTCGCAGTAGAGAGCAACATGATTGCCGTGAGCCGCTTTGGGCCATGAACCTGTGATCTGTCCGGAGGAGTCTCCCCACGATAAACCTGTCTCTTCTCAGGAGCTCCAGGAAGAGGGAATCTTTCAAGGCAGGGTGGAAATGCAGAGCCCCTGGAGTAAATGAGTCTCCACCCTCCACTTCCCTACTGTCCAACTTCCTAGCCAGAATTTTTTGTATCTAGGTCTGCCACTGTCTTAAGTTCACAGTAATGGAGCAGGGTTCCCCAGTCTCTAGTAAAGCTGGAATTCCTTACTGTGTTCTTCAGTGTGCGAGCCTGGACGCAGGAGAATAGTGATGAGTAAGAAACAAACAAGAATCGCAAGAACTGTCTGGCATGCAGACCGCCGTGCCTTGCTCACCTGGCAAAGGTCTTTTGCTGGTATTGTGTCCATCCAGGCTTCAGAACACCAGGAAGAAGGTCCTTGTCTGGTGTGAGAGTCCATTTGTCCCATGGCTTCACCTCTTGAATCAGCTCCTGGAACACTTGTTGCCATACTTCTATGTCTTCTTCCATCATGGCTGGAGTCCTGTGGCTAGGCTGGGGAAGGGCTCCTGAGTGGGGGCAGGGGCTCCTGAGTGGGGGTAGGGGCTCCTGAGTGGGAGCAGGGTCTCCTGGATGGGGGCAGGGTCTCCTGGTCCTGGGTAGGGTCTCCTGAACTGGGGCAGGGCCTCCTGGGTTGGGGTAGGGTCTCCTGGGTTGGGGTAGTATCTCCTGGATTGGGGTAGGGTCTCCTGAGTGAGGATAGGGTCTCCTGAGTGGGGGCAGGGGCTCCTGAGTGAGGATAGGGTCTCCCGGATGGGGGCAGGGTCTCCTGGTCCTGGGTGGGGTCTCCTGAACTGGGATAGGGTCTCCTGGGTATCCCAGGGTCTCTCTGGGTAGGGCAGAGTCTCCTGGGCCTAAACAGACCTGTGGCAGGATATAAGGTTGTCCACTTCAGAGAGTGAGGGTTCAGACTGACAATCCCTTTGAAGAGTTGAATTGGGATTGTGGTTCAGATCCTCTGTCCCAGGGACAAAGGTCAGTTGAGTCTGCTCCCAAGTTCAGAGGACAGCCGTGGACACCACAAGAAATCACACAATGCAGGGAGCTTTGGTTTTCATGTCTCAATATTTGGAGTCCAAATCAGGAATGAGCTGCCTCTGACACAGAGCTCCCGGAATGGTGGAGCTCACTCTTCCCTTTTCCGGTTCTAACATTTAAACTCCTCATCCATAGGGCTGCTGGATTCCTGCTTGGGGCAAAAGGGGCCTCCTGGGATTCCCATACCCTGGGAAGTCCTCGTTCATACCTAGTTCCTCAGGAGGATGGTGATCTGCTGGCCCTGCCTACCAACCTCAGCCTGAACAGAGGTCTCAGATCCAATTCTCCACTTACCGGAAATCAAAGTTGGTTTGTTCAGTCAGTGTGTGCCCAGGAGATTAGGTGTCTCTAGGTGGGTGGGAGGCTGCTGGCCCGAGACCAGCAGAGATCCATTGCCTTCCTCCATGAGAAGCTTCCCTGTGACCACACACCGAGGAAGGGGAAGGAGAGGCAGGCAGAGGTGGCCAGTGCTGGAGCAGGCAACACTGTAGGAATGGCAGACAAGGTTCTGAGTGTCTACTCCAGAGGCTGCATCCACAGATAGGGTCGGTCTTTCTACCACCCAGCTGGACATAGATGTATGGCCCTCACGGCTTCCCAAGCTGGAGGCTCATCAGCCTAGAAGAAAGGACGGAAACAAGGGGAGGGGCTTCCTGTGACGTTTGGAAACCAAACTTTCCCGGTTTTTCTCTGCTGTCTCTGCCCCAAATCACAACAACCTCATGGCCAGACTCAGATCACGGTGGACCCTTTCCTTCCTGCCCTCATTTAGTTTCTCAATGCTATTTGCTCAGTTATAAATTAACTACATTTAACCAGTTTCTTTCTTTTTTTTTTTTTGTCCCTCCCCCTTTCAACCTCTTACACTAGGCTGTGCCCACCTGTTGTCTGCTTGCTTAGTCCAGCTCTCAATAAACAGAAGTTCTCTGTTTGTGGTCAACAGTGCCATGGTCTTCACACTTTGGGGGATTTTTCATAGGGATTTCACCATGTAAAACAGACCCCAGGGCTGGTGCTGACATGTTCCCGAGAGAAAGAAGGCCATAGTGTTTCTAACACAGAAAATACAAGTGTTAGGGAACTTTGTTCAGGTACCAGCTACGCAGTATGGTTGGCCATGGGCTCAATGTTAAGAAGTCAATAACTGCATACATAATAGGACAGTTTTAGACAGAGACAACACGAGGGCTCCTGTCGATTATGTGACTGAAACATGAGCAAGGGAAACAAGAACCTAATGGTAGTCCCATTAGGAACAGTGGCTTTGTATTCAAGATGACATTTAGAACCACCGTGAGCAGTGAGAACCCACTGTGCTCTCCTTTGCCCACCTTGCTAGCCTCCTCTCTTGCATTCTATAGGGGAGTTGAGTTGGGGGAGCAAGTCTCTGTCTTGCTCTGGTTTTTGTTCAGAAAGTTACTAATGCCTCATTCAGTCAGCCAGCAATCCTACATCCTGCACAGTTCCCAGACCCTCTGCTGTCCTCTAATTCTGTGCCCCAAGACCAAAGTCCAAAGAGCCATTCTCTCGTCAGACTGTGTTTAGGAAGTGGTGTGGACTTTCTCCAAGTGTGTTGGATTTGTGCCAGCCTGTACGAGGCGTCTACTTGTGAATCGGTGTGGAAATCACGGGTGTGTACAGATGTAGTAGAGGACCTGTGCTAAGACCTTCTTTGGAAGATTTAAGGTTTCTGTGGCCACCAGGACACAACACAGCAACAGCAGACAGGCAACAGGCCTAGCTGCTTGTCACTTACAACCTGATCAAGAGAAGGATGCCAGGTGAGCCCACACAGGGTGTCCAGGAACAAGAAACAGTTAAGAGTAGCTATAGGGCACAGTGTACGTGTGGTACTGGCCTGAGGGCACCTAGGTTTGCATCAGCCTCTCCTGGGATAGTGAGTTCAGCCCCAGGGGCAACAACCACCGACCAAAGCAACTCTTTCACTGGAGTTTAGCTTGGTGAACCAATGAGTTTATTGGAATTACTTAGGGTCACGGGTGAGGGATTGCTACTATCTCTTCCTACTTTATATTCCTCTGTCTGCCCTGCCTTATCACTCCTGTCTCCACCTTCCTAGGGCTGGGATTAAAGGTATGGGATCCCAAATGCTGGGATCACCTTTGTGTGAACTGTTTCTCTTTTAGAAAGATTCAATCTCACGTAGCCCAGGGTGGCCTTAAACTAACAGAGATCCCTCTGCTTCTGTCTCCCGAGTCCTGGGATTAAAGCTGTGTGCCACCACTCCCTGGCCTCTAGTGGCTTAGTTCTGCACTCTGATCTTCAGGCAAGCTTTATTTGTTAAAACACAAACAAAATATCACTACAGCCACTGAAAAGTCTGACCCCAGCATGGGTGACAAGTTCCGCATAGCTGTATAGCTGGCGCTCCCCCTTTGGTTACCTTTCCATCTCCTATGACCCCTCCTGAGACAATATGTAGTCGGGGAGGAATTATGTATGACCGAGGGATGTAGGAGGGAGAGTCTGGAATCTCAGTGAAGGGTCTAAGGACCCTCTCCTAGTATCCCTAGTATGAGAGAGTGCCAGTCACCGTGACTCTGATGAATGGCAACAGTGTTACACTTGAAAATCGGGATTTCTACCGCACTAGTCTGTCCGGACTTCCCATGGATAGGTTCGAGGGTTCTGAAGCAGCAAGGTATACCTCATTTGCCCTTAGCTGTCTTGTTCTGGGGCTTGAGGCCGTGGGGGCAGATGTACAGTGGTTCACAATATGATGGACGAGGAACGGTTGGAGTATAGAGATGACCAGTTGCTGAAGAAGGAAAACTGACCAGAGCCCCGGCTAGTCGAAGCTGGGTTGAAACACCTTAACCAAAATTGTATTGTGAGATGATTCTGACTTAGGTTAAAAGTGTGAGCAGGTATCTTCACAATGGGGAGGCAGGGGGGTGTGACGCAGAATCAAAGGAAAAGGCCATTCAGAGACAGAAGCAGACTAGAGTCAGGTTGTCAGGAGCAAAGGGATGCCTGGACCCTGAAGAGGCAAGAAAATTTCTCCCTAGGGCCTCTGGAGACAGCTTGATTTTGGACTTCTGACTTCCAGAACCATGAGAATAAATTTTTATTGTCATAAATGATCCAGTCTGTGGTCTAGCTGTGACAGATGTCAGGAACAACAGATACGGGCTCTTACATTCTACTATATAAGGACACATTTGTATTTCGTATTGTAAAGGCGTCTGCACACACATCACAGATGGCTCAGCATGGACACCTGCCAAAGATTTGTTTGTTCTAAGTTAACCTTTGGCTTGGGCAGGGAGTCTGTGGATGATGTGTGGGGACCACTGGGAGCTAAGGAGACCAGAGCCTCAGAGCTCAGAGCCAGCTGACCCCTGGCCAGAGGATGAAGGCTGTGCTGTAGAACTGATTGTGGCCATTCCCTATCAAGTCTGTCAGCTGGAGATGAGCCTCAAGCAGAGCCAACCGCTCGTTCCCACCGCAGTGTTTCTTTAGCGCCCTCTACTGAGAAGACTTAACAAGCTGTTGGCTGTAGGCTCACAACCACCTCAGTTCCAGGAGATCTGACCTCTAAGGACACCAGGAATGCATGCGGTGCACAGATATTCATTAGGAAAACAGTCATACACATAAAATAGAAAGAAATCTTTAAAAATTACTCTATTAGCATATGTTAATTATACACAATAATACACTTTCACAGATGGGGGCGTCATTCCTCACTGTGTTTATTTGTATACCCTCTGCTGGGCCCGCGAGACTCCAGCAGAAAGTCCAAATTCAACGTCACACAGATTGCCCTGGGCAGTGTTGGTGAGACACAACACAAAACAAACGGTCTATGGAGCGAGTCCTAGGACAGTCAAGGTTACACAAAGAAACCTTGTTTCTAGGACAGCCAAGGCTACACAGAGAAACCCTGTCTTGGAAAATCAAATATATACAAGTACCTGGTAATGGCAACTTCATGACAGCTGTAGTATCACCAGGCAAAAAGAAATTTCCAGCCCATTATAAGCTCACGAGAACACTGTACTACATGTGGTTTACCATTGGTCAAAACAGTGGTATACAATGCAACAGTGGTATACAATGCACAGGTTGAATATATATATATATATATATATATATATATATATATATATATATATACAATTTTTAAAAAGATTTGTTTATTTTTTATTTATTTATTATAGACACAGTGCTCTGTCTGTTTGTCTGCCCGCACACCAGAAGAGGGCACCAGATCTCATTATAGATGGTTGTGAGCCACCATGTGGGTATTGGGAATTGAACTCAGGTCCTCTGGAAGAGCAACTGGTGCTCTTAACTGCTGAACCATCTCTCCAGCCTATACTTATCTATAATTAAAATAGTTATTTTATTTATTTATTTATTATTGTGTGTGTGATGACTCAGGGGACAATCCTCAGGAGTTGGTTCTTTCTTTCAACCTGAGACCTGGGACTAAAACTCAGGTCACCAGATTTGGTGTTTGGTGGCAAGTGCCTTTATTGAACAGACTCACTGCCATTTTATATCTATAATTTAGTACATATACACATATGTATATGGGTGTATATGTATATATACATACATACATGTACACACATAGTTTGCTGTTAGATCCTAGAAATAACAATGTCCAGGAGCAACAAACACAGTGTTGTCTCTTTGTTTCTATAAACCATTTCCTTAAAAAAGGAGTCAAGACGCCTTTGAAAAATTGTTGATTCCAGGGCTGGATAAGGGGGGAAGAGTCTGGGGTACTGGGAAGTTTCTGGAAGAAGAGAACTGGGTGTAGAGTGTACATATTTAATCCCAACTCCCAGGATACAGAGATTAGAAGTTGGCTGAAAGTTTGAGCCAACCTGGGCTACATTATGAAGCCCTGCCTTCAACAACAACAAGCTAGAAAGAAAAGGGCTCAAGAAACAAAAGTGTGTGAGCACAGAGGGGCCAGAGGCCTACTTGACAGAGCTGTGCTCAGTGACACTGGGATGACCTGGGCCATGAAATAGCCGCACGGTGTTTGCTGCCTAGTCTAAGTCAACTTGACACAAGCTAGAGTTATTCGAAAGGAGGAAACCGCAATGAGAAAATGCCTCCATAAGATCCAGCTGGAGGGCATTTTCTTAATTAGTGACCAATGGGGGGAGTCCAGCCCACTGTGGGTTGTGCCATCCCTGGGTAGGTGTCCTGGGTTCTAGAAGAAAGCAGGTTGAGCAAGCCAGGAGAAGCAAGCCAGTAAGCAGCATCCTCTGTAGCCTCTGCATCAGCTCCTGCCTGCAGATTCCTGCCCTGCTTGAGTTTCTGTCCTGACTTCCTTTAATGATGAACAGCGATGTGGAAATGTAAGCCAAATAAACCCTTTGAAGGAAAATAGCTCTCAAAGGGAGTGGCACTATTAGGAGGAGTGGCCTTGTTGGAGGAAGAGTGTCACTGTGGGATCAGGCTTTGAGGTCTCAAATATGCTCAAGTCACACCCAGTGTCTCAGTTTACCTTTGGATTAAGATGTCAAATTCTCCAGCACCGTGACTGCCTTCATGCCGCCATGCTCCCTGCCATGATGATAATGGACTAAAATTCTGAAGCTGGAAGCCGCCACCTCAGTTAAATGTTTTCCTTTATAAGAGTTGCTGTGGTCATGATGTCTTGTCATAGCAGTAGAAACCCTAAGATACTCCCAACTTGCTTTTTGGTCATAGTGTTCTTTTTTTTTTTTTTTTTTTTTAAGATTTATTTATTTATTATGTACATG